TCTCCCACCACAGCACTCAGCAGATGCTCATGGAGGCTGGGGACATCTCCTGCTGAGCTCCCATGGGAAGTTATCCTTTGGGACTGTGCTGGGCTGCACATGCAGCCTGCCTGGCGTGGCTCCCTCGTCGTTAGGGCTTCTTTCATCTCCAAGGGGAATTCTTTCTTCTCCTTGCAAAAGAGCCTCACACGTTTCTTTCAAACTACCAGATTAATACCTCGCCTCTGTATTTGGGTGTACAGAGAGTGAGGAAGCCTCAGAAGGTGAGCCAAGGGCTTGGGGGGAAGCCAGTCTGTCTCAGATCCATGCTAATACTGCTTGGCTGGGCTGGAGCATTAGAGGGACAGCACGGCTGCATGTTGCACTCATTTGTTTAGGAAATAAGATCTGCCTTGATGTACTCGATACCATTACATTTGCAGCCTAAAAGCTTCCTTGTACTTAGTTATTTCTAATCTGCTCAATTCCCTGGAGTGCACAGCAGCTAAATTGATGGATTCTCTTATCTGGTCTGGCAGGTTTGTTCTAGATATGCTGTGTGTTCAGGAGGTGAGGTCAGCCTGGCTGGGTGTGCTTGGCGCTGCTGCAGCTTCCCGAGAGCTCTGCTATCTCCATGGGTAGCCCCAGGTTCCAAGGGCAGGGCTGCTGCTTTTGTGCACCCTTGGGTGCATGAAGTCTGCAGCTGATGTGATTGCCAAGCACAAGGTATAGTCCAAGTGGGCTGAAGGAGGTTTGAAGAAGGAGAAGGAGCTCCAGGACAAGGCTGGATATGAGTCCTCTCCCCTGCCATCAAGAATTCTGATTTTTCATGCATTCCTCTTTGCAGGACCTGCGCAGCAGCCAATGCCTGGAGAAGGCTCATCCCAGTGCCTGGATAAGGATCATCTCAGTGCATGGATAAAAATCATCTCTGTTCCTGGATAAGGATCATCTCAGTGCATGGATAAAAATCTTCTCAGTGCCTGGATAAGGATCATCTCAGTGCCTGGATAAAAATCATCTCAGTGCCTTAGACTGCCACGGTCCCAAGCTGTCCTTGAGGCTGAGGTAGTAGATTGAATAGTTGTGGAGTCTGGTCCTCCCTCTGAGCTAACTATACAATCTACTGTCTTTCCTAAGGAGACAGTCAGGTCTTCAGGTCTGCTCATCCACTTCTACACCAGCTGTGGGGGCAGGTGGTGCAAGTAAAGCAAATCCGTGCCCGTGACCGTCTGTTCTGCTCTGTGGAGGTGAGGTAGTAGGTTGTATAGTTTGGTGGGAGGGATTTGATCCCATTTCAGGTGATAACTATACAGTCTATTGCCTTCCTTAAAGAGCAGCAAAACCACGGAGCTCCCGAGGCATCGCTTCTTTTGTGGAGGATCCAAAAAAGCAGCATGGCATTGTTAAACAACTCAGTGGGTGTTTCTCTTACAGCATCCAGAATTGCATTCTTCCAGGAATTGCTTCATGCCTCAGGCACTGGTACATGGAGCCACCTGCTTCCAGGGAACCCACCTCTCTTTAAGATTCAAAAGAACCAGGGAAATGAGTTTGCACAGCAGCTTCCAGTGTTCAATTCTATTATTTTTTTGCAGGAGATAGGTTGAAGTTGTAAAGTGTTTAAATGTGTTGATCTTTTCTGGTCTGTCCTCAGGTCTGGAGGGGAGCAGATATTTTTGTGTAAATGGGACAGATGTGAGCTCATGATTTAATTTTTTTTGTACCCAGTTCTGAAGTTTGGGTTCAGAACCAGACCCAGGGGCAAGCTTAGCCTGTGGACTCAGAGCCCTGGGAGCTGATCAGATTTGGCTGCTTGGCCCCTGCTCAGGAAGTGCATTTTGTTTTGGACAAGTTCCCAGCCTGTCCCATGGAACAGAGTTAGAGGGTGGTTCTTTCTAATCTGATAATCCCTTATCAACTGAACTGCCTCACATGCAAACCCTGTCAGGGCAGTTTGGGGCTCTTGAGTATTTACATAGGATGAACCAATGATTCAGACTAAAATCTTTTCCTAAAGTGGAGACAGGTAAGGAGGAGACATGAGGCAAAAGGAGCAGGTTCTAATCCTTCTGGGTTCTCCCAGGGAGTCACCTGATGACAGACATGTGAGAAGTCATCACGCTTCAGAGCTCTGGCCCTTGGCAAGGGGCAGGGAACTGTTAACTCTTCTGTTTCTTAGGAGCAGATGGGACTATCCCTCTGCTGTTTTCCAGAGTAAGTAGGATCAAGACCAGGAGTGGAGCTGTAACACGAGCAGGGCTGCACCAGGAAGGACATTTCAGGCCATTATCACGACCATCTTACTGCCAGGGAGACTGTGAGATCCGAGACACCGGGGAGCGAGGGCAAGCAGAGGACACCTTCTCAGATGAAGTGGGAGGGAGAGAGCACCGAGAAATTGGAGCCCTCAAATTTTACCCTGAGCAAAGGCCCAGGGAGAGGCAGACCTGGCTGTCGTGGGAGTCCCCAGAATGAAGCAGCTCATTTCAGGCCCCTCTGCTGGGACAGGGCGTAGCTGGGACACAGCTGCTGGGTGGGGATGCTGCAGCTGCAAGCGGCGAAGGAATGCAGCCCTCTCTCCATAAATCTGGCTTTTCAGCAGTCCTGGCGACTTGCTGTGCAAAACTACAGCTTGGTCCTCTGAGCTGCATTATTACCCTCCAGCTGCTTGCTCAGGGGCAGGGCTGCTGCCCGCAGATTGCCTGGAAGGTACCAAAATAGCAGCAGAAGCATGGGAACAGGGCAGCATATCCACTTCATCTGGAGAGGTGTCCCCTGGAAAAGAGCTAATTCCACGTGTCCCAGATGGAATCCCTTCAGTCCCCCTCCATGGCATTGATATTAACTCAGAGAATCTCAAATAGTGGAACTGTGTAAGCTGGAAGCCATGAATAAAATATTACTGGAGATATTCCCTCGTGAAAATAAACTTGGTTTGACCTTTTTAAAACAGAGTCTTTTTATTGCCCTGAAGTGAGCTTGGCTGGTGAACTGGGACCTCTCGAGGGGTGATCACTGTTCCTGACTGACCAAAATCCTGGGTGTGAAAGGGAAGCCACAGGATGAGGATGTGGACCAGATTGAGTTGGCCAAGCAGCTGAGACATGTGTGTTGGCTGCCAGCAGGTGCTTTCCTGACACAAATTTTTTGCACAACTCCTACACAAAGCCAGACCTCCTTCCTCACCCTCAGTCAGATCAATGGCTGCAGGTTCGGCTCCTCTCTGCCCTGGATAGTCCTTGCTATAAACATGTTTATAATGTGTATACCAGCAAGAGGAGAACACAAGGTTCACTAACCCAAATAAATCCCATCAAGGGCTAAGAAACCAGCCCAGGTAATGTTTAGTTGCTTCAATGAATCCTGGCACAAAGGAAAGGGCAGCTTTGCCCGGCAGGAGGGTGGCCAGCCTGGCTGAGCTTACACCCATGGATCTGTGGGACACCCACCTGACTCACCAGCCAGGATCCCACAGCACATGGCACTGGGGCACCCACACCATCCCTGACCACAATGGCAGGGAGGAACAGGCACTTCCTTTTAGTAAAAAGGAGCCAGGAAGCAAGATCAAGAAAGGTGGGACCCTCTCAAGACACAGTGGGACAGGCTCCTGCACACGGCTGGTGCTGCCGGCTCCTGCAGCCCGGGCTCGGGACACGGGAATGTGGAGCTGCAGGGCAGCTCTGCTGGGAAAAGCAGCAGCAGGAGGATGGGGAAAAGCAAAAGGCAAAGTCAGGTACCAGCATCACTCCAGTGCTGATTCGAGGCCCTTGCCCCTTATGCTGCTCCCTGATGGATGTTCTGAGGTGAAAATGCTGCAAAAACCCAGAATCTGGAGACTTACACTTATATTTAACTTTTTTCTGTGCTGCAAAGATTAAATCGTGTTTAGGGTGTGAGAGGTTTGTGCTGGGCTTCCTAAAACAGGGAACCAGATGTGCTCCAGCCATAGTTTTTATTTCTTGTTTTGCTCTGAGCCCTTTTTCTCTTGCTTCCCTTGCCCAAGAATTCCTGGTGGGAACACATTTTTACTTTACACTCAGCTGGATGCTCAAGAAAAATTCCCTACGTCATCCTCAATCCCCATGGCCTCCTGCTGCTTTTACAAAGGTTTAAAAACATCAAGTTACACCCTTACAAAAAGCAGCACATGGATGCTTTTGGAAAGCCAAAAAAACCCTTCAAAAGCCAAAGAAGTCATGCTTTTTTTTAAGCAGTTCTATGTAAGAACATAATGAAGAGCATTTTACAGGTATAGTAAATAGCTCCCAGGTGTCCAGATCCCCCAGAGAGAGTGAACAGACTTTCACAACAGGATTTATTCAGTGCATGCTCTGGGGATGCACAGGACAGAACAGCAGTGGAGGATGTGAGTAATGGCCCTCAGGTCATCCTCCAATCCCCATGGCCTCCTGCTGCTTTTACAAAGGTTTAAAAACATCAAGTTACACCCTTACAAAAAGCAGCACATGGATGCTTTTGGAAAGCCAAAAAACCCCTTCAAGAGCCACAGAAGTCATGCTTTTTTTTAGCAGTTCTATGTAAGCACATAATGAAGAGCATTTTACAGGTATAGTAAATAGCTCCCAGGTGTCCAGATCCCCCAGAGAGAGTGAACAGACTTTCACAACAGGATTTATTCAGTGCATGCTCTGGGGATGCACAGGACAGAGCAGCAGGGGTGGATGTGAGTAATGGCCCTAGGTCATCCTCCACCTCTTCTGTAAGAAATGAAAGGTTGCAATGTCCAGAGAAGGGGCTGCATCTCCCCATTATCTTCCTTCCATCTGTCTGCAGAGCTTGGCACATGTTTAACACACCTGACTGGGAACCCTCAGGTGAAGGGAGGAGAGACGTGGGGTAACAAAACACAGTGGCCCAGACAATGCCAGTGGTCCTGCAACGGGCCCAGGAGCCACCAATAACCTCTAACAATGTCACTTGTACCTCTGGAGCTCAGACTGTACCAACACAAGTGGGGACTTGTTCTCCTTGACCACACACACACAAGTTACACATCAAGAGGAATCTGTATCTAAATTCAAATACACTGCAGTTATGCAAAGAATGAAGCCATGCAGGGAAAAGCTACATGAAGGAGCTGGTGGCCTCTCTCAGCTCTGAAGGTTTCTCTTCTGTGCGAGCACACAGGTGCAGGCACACGCGTAAAATAAATCTGTGGCTTGGGAGGAGGCAAGGGCTGCAGAGTGTGAGGAGAAGAGGGGGAACAGCTGGGTAATACTGGCCAGAGCTCCACCAGAACCAGGAGGAAACAGAAATCCTCAAAAAGCCACTCTATTTTGACAAGAAGGGAAAGAGGTAAAACTTGTCCAAAATTGAGATGGACACACTGGGAGGGAAAAGAGCATTTCTGTTGGAAAAAAAAACAAAACACCAAAGCCAACCACTGCGTTTCATCTACAAACACCAAAGCCAACCACCATGTCTCATTGTCCCCAAGTCACCCTGCTGTCCCCGGGGTCAGGCTGTGGCAGGGCCTGCCAGCCACACGGGCAGATGGGTGGGAGAACTCAACACTTCCAGCCTGGAAATGGAAGAGAAGCCAGGAAAAAGGAGAAGCATCCAAGGTCACCAGCATTATGGCAAACACCCTCCTGTCCTCAGGTCTCCTCAGGAAGGGGACAAAGTTCCCCCAGCATCAGCCTTGGCTCGCCGGGGCTGCAGCAGAGAAGGCAGCGTAAGGAGGGAGCGTGTGAATTGTCCAAGGAGCCTCCTGAGCCTACCAGGGCTGCGGAACAACCAGCGCTGACAAAAGCCTTGCTGAGGGGTGCAGGGACAGCTGAGGAACACCCTTCAGAGCAGAAGGCCCACCAGGATGGCACTGGGGAGGAGGAAGAGCGAAAGGCCCAAGCAGGTACTGGGGGCTCCTCCTTTGGGCAGATCCACACTTGTCTGGTCTGAGTTTGTCTCCTGTTCTTCTGTGTCCAGGGCACCTGCTGGAGGAAGAGAGGAAAATGTGGAGTTAGAGGGCAAGATCTGGCACAAGAGAAGCTCCCACTCATGCAGGTGTGCCATGATGTGCCCCGAGGGTCCGTGAGGCAGCAGAGCTCTGGTCCAGGGAAGCTGTGCGTTAGTGGGAGCAGGCTGTGAACGGGACCATGCTGCAGGGATGAGACATCCAACCATCCAACCAGGGTTAGAGGAAAGAGTGAGGAAAAGTCTTGGTGCCACATACAAGAGGAGGATCCAAAGGACCAGTCTGACACTGCTCCTCCCAAGCCCTCTCCATGCTGCTTGGGGATCCCTGAATGTCCGAGTGTCCATGCCAGGACAAACTCCACGGTTGCCTTACCTGAGAGGGAGGTCTGGAAATGGGGGCTCGGCCCTTTTTTGTCTTTGGAGGATGATGTTAAGCGCAAGAACGTGGGCTCTTCAGGGCTGAGGACCACTGACTTGGAGGGAGTTATGAGCTCAGCTCTATTGAAACCTAGCTTCATCTCTGGAACAGCTTGGCTGAGGGATGGAGATGGACTGGGAAAGGCTGATTTCTCTTTCCCATGCTCTTTGGCACCTTTCTTTATTTCTGGGACTGATCTGGGGCTGAAGGCTGTGCCCATGCTTTCTAATAAGGCTGGATCCTCTGTAGTGAAGGAGCTAAAAGGTTCTCCAGTGTCTGCCTCTGGAGATACTTTATAGTCTGGGTCTAAGCTGGGCTCAAAGGAAAGAGTGATGCTGGTTGCTTCAGTAGGATCAGGTCTTTCTGGTTGTGGCTTTGTGGCTGTGGCAGTTTTCAGTTGTGTCGTTGCTGTTGTGGCAGGTGCTAGTGTTGTAGCAGCGAGTTTTGGCTTAGCTACCGTTGGGGTGGATTTTGGTGTGGTGGGTGTTGGCTTGGCCATAGTTGTGGTTGGCTTTGGCTTGGCTGTAGTGGTGGTTGTGCTGGGGTTTGATGTGGAGGGTGTTAATTTGGTGGTGGTGGTGGTTGTGGTGGGTGTTGGTTTGGTGGTGGTGGTGGTTGTGGTGGGGTTTGGTGTGGTGGGTGTTGGTTTGGTGGTGGTGGTGGTTGTGGTGGGTTTCAGGGAGGTGGGTGTCATCTTGGTGGTAGTGGTGGTTGTTGGCTTAGTGGCAGTGGTTGTTAGGGTGGGTTTTGGTGTGGTGGGTGTTGGCTTGGCCATAGTTGTGGTGGGCTCTGGCTGGGCTGCAGTGCTGGTGGCTGCTGGCATGGTGGGTTTTGGTTTGGCCATGGCTGTGGTGGCTGCTGGTGCTGTGGGTTTTGTCCTGGCTGGGGTTGCTGTTGGGAGCGTGCTGGCAGGTTTTGGCTTGGCTGTGCTGAAGGGTGCCTGTGCTGGGGGTTTGGGCTTGGCTGTGGTTGGGAGTGTGGCTGTGGGTGGTGGCTTGGCTGTGGTTGTGGTTGGAAGTGTGGTTGTAGGTTTTGGCTTGGCTGTGGTAGACACCGGTTTTGTGGGTTCAGATTTGGCTGTGGTGGACACTGGTGTGGGTTCTGGTTCAGCTGTGGTGTGAACTGGTTCTGTGGGTTCTGGTTTGGCTGTGGGTTCAGGTTTAGCTGTGGGCTCTGGTTTGGCTGTGGGCTCTGGTTTGGCTGTGGGTTCAGGTTTGGCTGTGGCTGTGGGCTCTGGTTTGGCTGTGGGTTCAGGTTTAGCTGTGGGCTCTGGTTTGGCTGTGGCTGGGGTGGATGGCCTTGCCTTTGTTGTCACAGAGGCCGGAGTGGTCTCTTCTACAACGAGTTCTGGTGAGAGATGAAAAGTGCCGTGGGTTAGGGCTGGCTCAGCTCACCTCCATGGATCCTCTGCACTGAGCAGGACCAGCAGAAACCAACGAGGGGCTGAAACAGCAGCCAACCCCCCTCAGGTCACTCTGGGCCATCCCCCACTCTGGGGTTCCCAATGTGGAGACATCTCATGGCCCTCACAACCTCCTGCCATGCAAGGGGCAAATAATGCTGCCTAACTGGGTACAAGCCCCTCCTTAGCTTAAGGCAGTTGTCCTGTCTCATGGTCCAGCCCTGGAACTGAAGTTCAGAGGCTTCCTGACAGCTCCAGGAGGGTTCAGAGCTCAGACCAGTCCAGGTCTCAGTCCCAACAGCCCCTCCAGGGCTCCCCTCACTCACCACACAGGTTGTTCACACAGACTGTGTCCATGGGGCACATTTCGCACGAGGGTCCTTCAATGTAGGGCTTTTTGCCTTTCATGTTACCCCTGGAAGCAGAAAATGCCAAGATAAAGAAGACATGAGGAAAGGGGAAACACCCATCCCAGAGAGGGGGCTGATTCAGCTGGGATATCCCAGCCAAGGCAAAACTTGGGATTAATGTAGCAAAGAGGTCTTGGTGTCCTGCCACGGCCTGTCAGGGCCATTTACTCACCAGCCTGACCCCAAGGCAGCTAAAGCCAGGGCAGACAACTCCGTGCAGCAGATCCCTCATCCCCTCAGAACAGAGCAGGGGATGGATATTGGGACAGGGAATTCTGTCTCACTTTGCTCCAGGCCCCAGGAAGGTCTGCAGCCACTGGCTGCTCTTGGTGCTCTCAGCAGCTCCAAGACAGTGGTGCCAAGGCTGGTCCCAGGGCTGGGAAGGGGGTACCCAGCTGTCCTCCCACATCCAACCCTTCCTGCTGCTGCAAAAGGACTCCTCCACCCCAGGCGACGGCAGCAGGAAGAACAAGGCCTGGGGCAGGGAGGTGTTTGTACCCTCAGCTACTGCCACCTCAGCCTTGAGCAGCTCTTGGGCAAGAAGGTCCCTCCCTGGGTGTGTTCCAGGAGTTGAACCAGCACTCAGCAGCCACAATCATGGGCCAGGACCTCCAGACAACCCTTCCTTAGTCTGGGACCAACCCAAGATAACAGAAGCATTATTTGCAACTTCTATTTCTGACCAAGGACAAAGCCTGCTGTGACATAAGCCAGGGCATTTCCAGCACAGAAACCCCGCTGAGATACACCAATCCATGCAGGGCCTGGGACTTACGGAGGATAATAGTTGCAAACAAGCAGGTGCATGTTCTCTGTTTCAATTCCATCAATCTTCTCACAAAAATGTGCCCCACAGCCGATCTGATGTGTATTTGACCAGACCACCTAAGGCAAAGACCAGGGTGGAGGTGAGGGGATTGGGTGAAGGCAACTTGTCCCCTGGCTTAAAGGCTGCTCCAAAGACCTCCTCATCCCACAGAGTGTGCCCCAGATCCCACATCCCCATGTTGCTTTGGCATTCAGGACCCACCACCATCTCTGCTCCTACCGAGTCTGTGAAGAAACACTCAGACTTCATCTCTGTGTCTGAGAAAATCTGGCACCCAGCTCTGCTGAGCAGCCACCCCTCCACCCCAGCAGCTGGTACCTGGGTGTAGTGGCCACACATCTGCCCGGGGACACACGTGGATGTTGTCAAGTTGTAGAATTTCTCCTCCCCGTTCCAGTCTTCCACGGCGAATTCTAGTTCCAGGGTTGGGGCCATAGCAAACAGGTTTTCTCCCCGTCGGCCTCTCTCCTTGTTGTGGTCCCAGATGCACTTCTCTGCATAGGATTGAGCAAGGGCCTCCAGCTCCTTGTCCCAGGTCTGAAAGGAGCTCAGTATCAGCACCCAGGGAGGGACACTGGGCTCTCCAACAGGAACAAGGCACTCACCAAGCACCCTGCACTGTCTGGCTGCAGTTTCCCCATCCATCAGGAAAATTCAAACCCCTACCCAAGAGAGTCCTCAGGAGAGGGGAGCTCCATGGTCAGTCCCAGCACAAGCCTTGGTTTATGGGTCAAACAGGAGAAGGTCAGGGCACCAGTACGACTCTCACAACATCTCCTGGAGCTCATCTAACACCATCATGGAGCATCCTCAACTCAGTGTGGAGAAACCATGAAGTCATGGAAGAAAGAAGGAAACCCACTGTGGGTCAGGCCAGAGGGGTCTGGGGCCATCCCTCCTCACCCAGGGTGGGGATAGGAGGGGAATGGGACACACCTCTCCTGGCAGCTGAACAAAGCCTGGGAGCACAGGCTCCTGGGAAACATCATCTGTTTGCCTGGAACCCAGACGTGGCCGCCTGGCTGCCAGCCAGGAGCCCCCTCTGGAGCAGCAGCGGCCCCGCCACCAGCTGAGCCCCCGGCCACAGGGAGGAGAACAAGGAGGAGGAGGAGGAGGAGGTGGAGAGCTTTTCAAGCAGGGATGCATATGGGGAATCCTGCACTGCAGCTGTTTGGACCATCCTTGATGGAGAGAGCAGCTTGGCTCTGAAGGCAGCCCTGCAAACAGGGTCCTGAGGGGGACCTTCCTGGACAGAGCCAGGGCTGGATCCAAAAGGATCCAGACAGGAGGGCATGTCACCACTGGGGTGTCAAGGGGATGAGGACAGGCCTGGAGGCACTGGGGGGAGGAAACACCTGGCTGGCACACAGAGTGTTGGTTCACCTCCCACCATGGCCCCAAGCCACGCTGACAGAGAGGGCTGGAGACCCAATTTGAGGAACACACACCCCTCTCCCTCTGACACAGAGCTGGGCTCCATAAACGGGGGACTCACACCTGCAGATTTGCCTCATTAGTAAAGTGGGCTTAGGCTACAGATTCCCCCCCGTTCAACCAAATATTTCCAAAGCAACCAGCCCCATGTTCCAAAAGGAGGCACAGAGTGACCTCAGCCAGGCACAGTGCCACAGCAGCAGGTGAACCCAGAGGCAAACCCAGCCCAAGCAAAGTCCCAGGAGGGAGGTGAGGATGGTGTTCTCATGGAAAACTTCTGCTGAGGAATCGTCAGGGCTGCTAAACATTTGCTGGGCTTCAAAATGAAAAAGCCTTTGGCTCCAGATCAAGAGCAGGTCCTGTGTGCTCGAGCAGGAGCAGAAGCTGCAGAGGGAGCATTTCAAAGCACAGGGGCTGCAATCAAAGTTTCAGCCAGGAGCAGCCCCCACAGGTTTGGAATCGACTTAAGGACCCTGAAAGATCATTTATCTCAGGTTTTCTCTAAGACTTTGGCTCCAAAGCCCTGATATTCTGAGTTTGCTGTGCCTGGTGGGTTTGATGGGATCATGGTGCTGAGGGTTCTGGCTCTGTCCCCTTTGAGTCTGCAGTCACTGGTCAGGCCATCTCCCCCTGAATTTAACTTTTTGTTTCTTCTAATTGTTAAGCTCCCCTTTACCAGCCCAAAAAGGCTTTACTCATTCTGGGCAACTACTGGGCCAGCCAGGGAGGTGTCCTCCAAGCACACTGTGACCCAAAGAGGAAAGGACTCCAACTCTCCATGATAAACAATTATCCCTCTCTGTGTGATTTACAAACAGTGAGGAAAAATCACATGTGGTGCAAGATAAAACTTCATAGCCAAGTTCTAATCAAATCAAGAGTCTGAACAAGACAAAAAGCAGCACCAGCACCAAGCTTGTTTTTGGTCCTACTACAGGTCCTACTGATGATGGGACTTGATTTCCCCAAGCAAAACAGAGGATCCTGCATCACTAAGACACCAAGTCACGGTGAGGACTAGGAGTGTGATGAGCCCAAATAACTGAAGGACCTAGACTGACAGGGTGACATTCCCTCCGCTAAATAAAAGGACCTTCACCTGCAGAGGAAAATACAGAGCACTGTGTGATGTCCCACACAGCAGGATTCCCCCACCTCTTGGAAAACCATGACGAATTCTCCAGGTCATGGCACCTGTGGGGAGGAAATGTATTTATTAGAGTTTTGAAGCCATGCAGAACACACCCATCTCACATATCGGCCTTGATGGAGAGGCAGCAGTGCCAACGAACATGCAGGGTCCTCTCCCTGGGACAGACCCTGTTCCTGAATCCCAATCCCTGGACTGGCATTCTTCATCCAAGCCTCTGCTGTTCCAAACCTCAGCCATCCCCTGAGCCCTCAGTTACGGGTCCTGTCTTCTACCTCCTATTCCATTCCTCCTAATCTGTAACAACAATCCCACAGCAGCTGACAAAGCCCTGTTTTCACACGGGTCTTCCCCCGTGCCTGGAATGCAGCTGCCTTAGAAACAAAGGCAGCAGGATGCAATTGCTGAGAGCACTTTGCAGCACAGCAACTCCCCAGACAGAGCCGGAGCCCACCTCGGCTAGCCCCGTGTCTGTGATGGGGGGACAGCATTTGGCAGCTGAGGAACATCCCCCTGGGCTGCCAGACCTGCTGGGAACAGGGGCAGGCAGAGGGCTGGTGCCTCTTCCCTGAACCATCAGGAGAGGAAGAACAGGGTACAGAGCTGAGCTGGCCCCAAACCGGAGAGCTGGGAGTCTGTGGCTGCCCTCAGGGCTGGCTGGAACAACCAAACCGTGGGCTCTGCGGGGACAGGCTGTGCTCCGTCCCCGCAGACACCTGCAGGGTTCATCCTCCGTGTCCGCAGCCCCCGCGCCGGGGCCGGCCTGCCCGAGCCCCCCGGGCTGCTCCAGCCTCGGCTCCCCATCTGCGATTGTGCAACCGCCCGGCCCGGCTCCAGGGGCTCCGCTGGGATCGCAGCCTGTCAGAGAGGATCAGCGGGTGGGCAGCTCTGGAGAGCCGAGCCAAGTTAATCACACGCTGCCGCTCTGCCTCCCCCTCCCCTCCCCACTCCCCAGGAAACGCTTTGTTGGTTTCCCTCCGGTTTTGGACCACACGGATCACCTCTCTCACCACAGCAGCTCTCCTACTGCCCCCCAGATCTCTGAGCTCTGTGTATTACTTGGTCCTTCACTAGCTCTGGGGTCAGCCGTGCCCTCAATTGTCCAACAGTTCCTGCAAGTGGGATCTGAGGCCAAGATCTCAGCAGATTTTCAACTCAGATGGTCAAACCAGAGATTCCCATATATTGCTAAGGCAAATCTATCTCTTGATGGAGACACCTCCACACATTTGCTGTTGGATCTCTGGAGACCTGGAGAAACATCTAGAAAGCATCAACACTGGTTCCAGCTCCTGCTGACCAGCTCACCATGGCCTGGCTTACAAGGAACAAGGCAGTGCTGAGGATTTTAGAACCATGGAATGGTTTGGGTTGGGAAGAACCTGAGATCCCATCTCATTCCAACCCCTCTGCCATGAGCAGGACACCTTCCACTAGAGCAGTGCAGGTGCTGGTGATGTGGAGATGCAGGGCCAAGCTCCCCATTGACCCTGGCACTACAGCACCCTGGCTGAGCCCTGCAGGAGATAGCGTGGCAACAAGGATGAAGGAAAATGGGATACACAGAGCTTGTGGGGAACAGCAAACAGCCCTGGAGGAGTCATCACCAGGGCATGTGGCTACGGGGAAACGTGAGTAAGAGCTGATGCCTTTGGCAAGTGCAGGGCAGCTGCCAAAGGGATGCAGGGCCATTTCTCAACTCCAACCTGCTCTGACAGCTTCTTCTGGAGCCAGTGTCTGAAGCATCAGGATTAGCAGTGCAAGGTCCAAGCCCCACCCTGGGGCTGAGACACTCGTGTCCAGCCGGCATTAGGTAAGTGTGTGTGGAATGCAGCTTTCCTTCTGCTCGCTCAAGGAACCCGTCCCCCACCCCAGGGAGCAGCAGCCACTGCACGGGGACAGGGACAGGAGCCACACACCAACACCTGACAGGCTCTGCTCCAGCCTGCTGGCCCCACTCTGCAGCACAAAGTGACCAAGCCTGGGCTCTACTGACTCACGTCTCGAGGGTCTCCAGCGGCGCTGGCCGGTGTCTAACGAGGCTCCTGCACTGCTGTGGGAGTAACAGGATCTCTCTCTTTTCTCCCTACTCGCCTGGATTTATGAGCTCTGGAGGAGTTTATAGTCTTCCACACCATTCATTCATCCATTCTATTATTTAAAAATGCTGGGACACAAGTGTTGACTGGGAATCCCCCTGAGCTGGGCAGGGTGCGAGTGGGGTATTGTCCAAACCAGTACAGTGAGTGCCAAGGAGAGCTGAGGTGAGGGAGGCCACCCCATCTGTGACTCATCTGATTGTGTCTGTCACCACAATGCCTCAACAGCTGCAGGAACAGCCCCATTCCCACCCAGTTCCACCTCAGCAGGTCACTAGGAACACCAGACTCTCTGAGGAGGTCCCAGCCTCCTGCAGCCCTTCCAAGGATCTGTGAAACTGGAGCTCAAGATGAGGAAAAAGACCAGGGCTCACTTGCAGCTCTTTGGCCAAGGTATCAAAACCTCCCCTTGGCCATCTCAGTTTTGCCATTGTGGGTTTCCCACCCTGGCAGTGCAGAGGTTGTGAGCACCACTCCCCTCTGGCAGCTGAAGACAAGAGTTACTCTGGAAGCCGTGCTGCAGACTGGCCCTTGGCAGATTGGGCCAAAAGAGATTCCTTACTCCCAGGAGAACTGCCCTCCTGTTTTAGTTTTGTAGATGGTTGCAATGGCCTTGAAGGGCAACACCTTTTAGCAAAAAGGAGCCAGGAAGCAAGATCAAGAAAGGTGGGTTCTCCCCAGACCCTCACAGGACATTGTGGTGGCAGCCCGCAGGCAGCGGGGCTCCTGCACACGGCTGGTGCTGCCGGGCAGCAGAGCCACCAGTGACCTGTAACAGCATCACTTTTATCTCTGGCGCTCAGATCGTACCAACACATGTGGGGATTTGTTCTCCCTGACCACACACACACACAAGTTGCACATCAATCAGGATCTGTATTTAAATTCAAATACACTGAAATGATGCAAAGTATGAAGCCACGCAGGGAAAAGCTACATGAAGGAGCTGGTGGCCTCTCTCAGCTCTGAAGGTTTCTCTTCTGTGCAGACACACACGTGAAATAAATCTGTGGCATTGGAATGACTGAGGGATGGGACATGTGCCAGAGAGTGAGAGGGAGGAGGAGAGAGGGAAGAGGCATGGGCTGCAGGGTGTGAGGAGGAGAGGGGTGAACAGCTGGGCAATACTGGCCAGAGCTCCACCAGAACCAGGAGGAAACAGAAATCCCAAATAGACTCTCTATTTGGACAAGACAGGAAAGAGATAAAGTATGTCCAAAACGGAAAGAAATACACTGGGAGGGAAAAGAGCATTTCTGCGGGAAACTCCTCCTGACAAACACCAAAGCCAACCACTATGCCTCATCTGCAAACACCAAAGCCAGCCACCATGTCTCATTGTCCCCAGGTCACCCTGCTGTCTCCAGGGTCAGGCTGTGGCAGGGCCTACTGACCACATGGGTTTGTGGGTGCGTGGTGCTCAACACTTCCAGCCTGGAAATGGAAGAGAAGCCAGGAAAAAGGAGAAGCATCCAAGGTCACCAGCATTATGGCAAGCACCCTCCTGTCCTCAGGTCTCCTCAGGAAGGGGACAAAGTTCCCCCAGCATCAGCCTTGGCTCGCCGGGGCTGCAGCAGAGAAGGCAGCGTAAGGAGGGAGCGTGTGAATTGTCCAAGGAGCCTCCTGAGCCTACCAGGGCTGCGGAACAACCAGCGCTGACAAAAGCCTTGCTGAGGGGTGCAGGGACAGCTGAGGAACATCCTTCAGAGCAGAAGGCCCACCAGGATGGCACTGGGGAGGAGGAAGAGCGAAAGGCCCAAGCAGGTACTGGGGGCTCCTCCTTTGGGCAGATCCACACTTGTCTGGTCTGAGTTTGTCTCCTGTTCTTCTGTGTCCAGGGCAGATATGGAAGGAAAAGAAGACAAGATGAAGTCAGAGTAGAAGATCCTCTTTAGTGAAGGAGCTAAGAGGCTCTCCATTGCCTGTCTCTGTCTCTGGTGATGGGTCTATCTTGGGCTCACAGGAAAGAGTGATCCTGGTTGCCTCAACAGGATCAGGTCTTTGTGCTCTGGCTTTGTGGTTGTGCCAGTTTTTAGTCATGCCTTTGCCACCAGCATTTGTGGCACATGCTGGTGTTGTAGCAGCAGATATTGACTCAGCCAGAGTTGTGGTGGGTTTTGACTCAGCCAGAGTTGTCATGGGTTTTGGTGTTGTGGGTTTTCGCCTGGCTGGGGTTGTAGTTGGGAGAGTGGTGGCAGGTTTTGGTTTGGCTCTTGTGATGGGTTTGGGCTTGGCTGTGTTTGACAGTGTGGCTGTGGGGATGGCTTGGCTGTGGTTGTGGTTGGAAGTGACTTTGTGGATGGTGGCTTGGCTGTGGTTATGGTGGCCTCTGATGCTGTGGGTTCTGGGTTGGCTGTGGCTGTGAGTTTTGGCAGGGCTGTTAGGGTGGATGTAAGAGATGCAGAGATGAAAAGTGCCGTGGGTTAGGACTGGTTCACCTCCACAGATCCACGCAGTGAGCAGAACCAACAGAAACCAGTGAGGGGCTGAAACAGGAGCTGAGCCCTCTCAGGTCACTCTGGGCCATTCCCCACTCTGGGGTTCCCAATCTGGAGACATCTCATGTCCCTCACAACCTCCTGCTCCACAAGGGGCAAAAAACGCTGCCTAATGGAGTACAAGGCCCTTGACCAATCCTCCTCATCTTGAGGCAGTTGCCCTCTGTTAGGAGCAGCAATTGCTCCTAACATGGTCCAGCCCTGGAACTGAAGTTCAGAGGCTTCCTGACAGCTCCAGGAGGGTTCAGAGCTCAGACCAGTCCAGGTCTCAGTCCCAACAGCCCCTCCAGGGCTCCCCTCACTCACCACACAGGTTGTTCACACAGACTGTGTCCATGGGGCACATTACACACGAGGGTCCATCCCAGTAGGGCTTTTTTTTCTTTATATTACTCCTGGAAGCAGAAAATGCCAAGATAAAGAAGACATGAGGAAAGGGGAAACACCCATCCCAGAGAGGGGGCTGATTCAGCTGGGATATCCCAGCCAAGGCAAAACTTGGGATTAATGTAGCAAAGAGGTCTTGGTGTCCTGCCACGGCCTGTCAGGGCCATTTACTCACCAGCCTGACCCCAAGGCAGCTAAAGCCAGGGCAGACAACTCCGTGCAGCAGATCCCTCATCCCCTCAGAACAGAGCAGGGGATGGATATTGGGGCCTGGGACTTACGGGCGATAATAGTTGCAAACAAGCAGGTGCACGTTCTCTGTTTCAGTTCCATCAATGATCTCACAATAACTGCTCCCACAGCCAATGCGAGTTGTTTCTGCCCAGACCACCTAAGGCAAAGACCAGGGCTGAAGGTGAGGGGACTGGTTGAAGGCAGTCTCTCCCCTGGCCTTAAGTTCTGCTGGAATATCTTCCTCATCTCCCAGCACGTGCCCCAGATCCCCATCCCCATGTTGTTTTGGCCCTTCCCCCTTGCCCCTGTCTGAACCACCTTCCCAAGGTCATATATTCCAGTGCCACAGCTCTCCTACCATATAGTCTACCCAGGCAGAGCATCACCACCTCTGCTATGGTCTTGGAACCCTCCATCCATCCATCCATCCATCCAGTTGCCACCACCATCTCTTCTCCTCCTTGCTCCCACCCAAGCTGTGAAGAAACACTTGGACCTCATCATTCCACCCAAGACAAGCTGGCACTGAGCTGGCACTGCTGAGCAGCCAAAAAAATGGCTGCAGGGCTTGTCTCATAAAAGTTCTTCTCCAAAGGGCACTCATGACTGACACCATGCCCAGGTCTGCCTCTATCATTGTGAATCCCACCTGGTTCCCTGTCCTTTTGCAAAGATTTTAGGAGGAGCTGGGGCAGTGGCCCAGCTCCTGTCCCAACAGGCCCTCCACCCCAGCAGCTGGTACCTGGACGTAGTTCTCACACGTCTGCGTGGGGACACACGTGGATGTTGTCAAGTCGTAGAATTTCCTCTCCGCGTTCCATTGTTCAATGGCCAATTTTACATCCAGGGTTGAAGGTGTAGCAAAGAGGTTTAACCTGCCTGGGCCCCCGTTCTGGGACCACTTGCACTTCTCTGCATGCTTTTGAGCATCAGCCTCCAGCTCCTTGTCCCAGGTCTGAAAGGAGCTCGGTGTCAGCACACAGGGAGGGACACTGGGCTCTCCAACAGGAACAAGGCACTCACCAAGCACCCTGCACTGTCTGGCTGCAGTTTCCCCATCCATCAGGAAAATTCAAACCCCTACCCAAGAGAGTCCTCAGGAGAGGGGAGCTCCATGGTCAGTCCCAGCACAAGCCTTGGTTTATGGGTCAAAGAGGAGAAGGTCGGCACCAGCACAACTCTCACAACCTCTCCTGGAATTCATCTAATGCCATCATGGAGCATCCTCAACTCAGTGTGGAGAAACCATCACAGTGCTGAGGGTTCTGGCTTTGTCCCTGTTGAGTCTGCAGTCACTGGTCAGGCCTTCTCTCCCTGAATTTTTGGCTTTGTTTGCTTGTTAAACTCCCATTTACCAGCCCACAAAGGCTTTACTTATTCTGGGCAACTTCTGGGCCAGGCAGGAAGATGTCCTCCAAGCACACTGTGACCAAAGAAGGAAAGGGCTCCAAATTTCCAGGACAAACAGTTGTCCTTCTCCTCCCCATGATTTGCAAACAATGAGGAAAAATCACATGTGGTGCAAGATAAAACTTCATAGCCAAGTTCTAATCAAATCAAGAGTCTGAGCAAGACAAAAAGCACCAGCTCTAGAGCTCAGTTTTGCTCCCACTGCAACCACACATGTTGTGGGACCTGGCTCAATTTCCACAAGCAAAACAGGGGATCCCTCACATCCAAGGCAGCTCTGCACAAGGCATGGGGAGGAGTAGGAGCATGATGGGCCCAAATAACTGACAGACTTGACCAACATGTTTGAAGTTGATGCAAATACAGAGCACTGTGTGATGTCCCACACAGCAGGATTCCCCCACCACCTCTTGGCAATGACAATGCCAAAGTCTCCAGGCACCTGCTCATGGCACCTGCTCATGGCAGGGTCTCACCTGCCCTTCCTGCCATCACAGGGACCTCCAGCAGGCACTCAGGTGAGTGAGAGCTGCATCACTCTCATGGAACAGCATCTGGGGACTCACATCATGCTTAGGAACTTCCAGAAAATGACCAAAGACACTCCAAAGGTAAAGGAAACTCTTCTCTTTAGAGGCAGTTTAGGGAATCCCTCCATTAACACCTACTTGTAACCCTACATGAGAATTGCTCTGCCTTCCCTAAGGAACTCCCTGATCCCTCCTCGTGTTAAGATCCAGCCTTGGACCACACAAACACCCCAATATTCCTCTGTAATAAAAGCCACTTACCATCTTCATCATAGCCTTGGCAGGAGGAGAGACCTGGGAGCGATATTTATTATGCTCATCCAAGATGATCTTCTTTTCTTCATCACTCAGGCACCAGCTCAGCTCCAGCACTGAGAGCACCAGGAGGACGGGAGGAAGACCTGAGCTCAGCATCGTGCAGGCAGCTTCTGCTCTCAGCAGCCCACGGCTCTGGCAGTCAGATTTAAAGCACCTCCCAAGAGCCAGGAACACCCAACAGCTTGAAGACTGGGGAGGAAATGTATTTATTAGAGTTTTGAAGCCACGTGGGACACACCCGTGGCACATATCAGCCTTGATGGAGAGGCTGCACTGGGGCTGGTGCCAACATGCATGGTCACTCTCCATGCCTGAATCCCAATCCCTGGATTTGCATTCTTTATCCAAACCTCAGCCATCCCCTGAGCCCTCAGTTATGGGTCCCTTTGTTTACCTCCTGTTCTTTTTCTAAAAATCACAGAAGCTGGGGTTGGAAGGGCCCTCTGGAAATCATCCAGTCCAACCCCTCTGCAAGATCACCTGGAACAGGTGATACAGGAACATATCCTGGTGGGTTTGGGATATCTCCAGAGTGAGAGACTCCATAACTCCCTGGGCACCTGTTCCAGTGCTCTGCCACCCTCCATGGAATTAAGTTTTTTCTTGTCTTGAGGTGGAACTTGTATTTTGAGCTTATGGCCATTGCTCCTTGTCCTGTTGCTGGGCAGAACTAGAGTCTGACACCATCCTCTGACACGTCCTGATATATTTATATGGATTGATGAGATCCCCCTCAGTCTTCTCTTCTCCAGACTAACCAGGCCCAGCTCCAGCAGTCTCTCCTCATCAGAGGGCTGCTCCAGTCCCATAATCTTTATGGCCTCCATTGGACTCTCTCCAGTAACTCCTGTCTTTCATGGAGACCAGAACTGAACACAGATATGGCCTCCCCAGGGCAGAGCAGAGGGTAAGGATCTGCTGATCTGCTCACCACACTCTTCCCAATGCTCCCCAGGATCCCACTGTCCCTCCTGGCCCCAAGGCACCCTGCTGGCTCATGGTCAACTCATGGTCCTTCTCTGCAGAGGTGCTCCCAGTAGGTCACCCCCAGTCTGTGCTGGTACCTGGGGTTGTCCCTCCCCAGGTGCAGGACCTGCACTTGCTCCTGTTGAACCTCATTAGGTTCCTCTCCATCCAACTCTGCAGCCTGTCCAGGTCCCTCTGAATGGCAGCCCGGCCTTCAGGTGGATCAGCCACTCCCCCAGTTCTGTACCACCATCAAACTCAGGGTCCATTCCATCCCTTCACCCAGGCTGTTGATAAAGAAGTTGGGTAAGACTGGACCCAGTACTGATCCCTGGGGAATGCCACCGACTACAGGCCTCCAGCTGGATTCTGCTCTGCTCACAACCCTCTGAGCTCAGCCATTGAGCCAGTTCTTGATCCACCTCACTATCCATTCATCCAACTCACATTTCCTGATCTTATCCATGGGGATGTTACAGGACACAGTGTCAAAAACCTTGCTGAAGTCAAGGTAGACACCACTCACTGCTGTCCTCTCATCAACCCATCCTGCCGTGCCATCATAGAAGGCATCAGACTGGTCAAGCAGGATTTCCTCTTGGTGAATCCATGCTGACCACTCCCAGTAACCTGCTTTACTTTCAGGTGCCTGGTGACCTTCAGAATGAGCTGTTCCATCACCTTTCCAGGGATGAAGGTGAGGCTAACTTGCTGGGAATTTCCCAGATTCTCCTTATTGCCCTTTCTGAAGACAAGACTTAACACTAGCTTTTCTCCAGTCATTGGGCACCTCTCTCATTCTCCAGGGTTTTTAAAAGATGATGGAGAATGGCTAACCAACAACCTCTGCCAGCTCCCTCAGCACCTGTGGGTGCATCCCACCATGGACTTATGAGTGTTAAGTCTGCCTGGCTGATCTCTCTCAACTTTCTGTGATCAAGAGGAAGTTTTCCTTTCTCCATCCTTCATCTCTTACTTCCAGCGTCTGGGATTCCTGAGGGCCACTCTCAGCAGTAAAGCCTTAGGCAAAGAAGGTTTTGAGTAATTACACCTTCTCTGTGTCTTCTGTGCCCAGGACACCCAGTGGATTCAGCAGCAGCCTCACATTTTCCCTTGTCTTCCTTTTGCTGCTGAATGCACTTGGAGAAGCCCTTCTTGTTGCTCTTGATGTCCCTTGCCAGACTCAGTTCCAAGTGGGCTGTGGCCTTCCTCCTTGCATCCCTGCATACGCCAAAGATGTTCCTATAGATCTCTCATGTGCCTGTCCCTTTTTCAACACCCCATCAATTTCTTTGTTCCATTTGAGAATTGCTAGAACCTCACTGCTCTTCCATGCAGGTCTCCTGTCCTCTTTGCTTGATTTCTGGATCATAGGGGACAGGATATGTGGGTTGCAGCTTTCCTTCCCCCCACCCCAGGGAGCAGCAGCCACTGCACGGGGACAGGGACAGGGACAGGAGCCACACACCAACACCTGACAGGCTCTGCTCCAGCCTGCTGGCCCCACTCTGCAGCACAAAGTGACCAAGCCTGGGCTCTACTGACTCACGTCTCGAGGGTCTCCAGCGGCGCTGGCCGGTGTCTAACGAGGCTCCTGCACTGCTGTGGGAGTAACAGGATCTCTCTCTTTTCTCCCTACTCGCCTGGATTTATGAGCTCTGGAGGAGTTTATCGTCTTCCACGCCTCAAAGTTTGGCTAAAATCAACTCAAATGTGAAGGAAATATGGAGAATGTTGCTGGGAAGAAAAGAAAGGAGGGACAGGCAGAGCTGTTGCATCAACTTTGTTCAGAGAATCAGGCTAAAACCCACAGAACATTTCCTAAACTGCTCCTTTTTCACAAAGTGTTTCTTATGACATTTTCCTAAGAAAAGTATTCTGACTTTTCATTTAAAATTACACTTCCCTTAGGAAAAGTGCCCCAAAAAAGGTTAAAGAACACCTCAATAGCTGACATGCAACATGAAAATAAAAATCAGGAAAAGGGAAAAGGGTCATTAACACTTGTATTTAATTGCAAAAATTAAAAACTTTTTTATTCTTCTTACATACAAATCTCATTTATTTACATACTTTACAGTCTTTTCCCAAGTATTTACAAAGTTTGCAATATATTAAATTAGGACCATCCATAAAATTCTGCATTAAGTGCATATTCACATTCTTTTTTTTTTTTTTTTTAATCCATCACTAAGTTTAGTGTTCAGCATTGAAACAGTCTTTATGCATATATAGCTTTACTTCCCAGCACCTCTGAGCCTTTAGAATGTGGCTCCCCTCCCCAAGACAATGAGATAATGCTAAAAATAAATCACCTGCCATTTTTTTGAATCTCCAAAGCAAAGGGAAGTCCAGCATCTCCCTTGTCTAACTCAGTAGGACACTAAATCTGCCCTTTACAAGGAGGAGGTTTCTGAACAGGAGGATTTCGAGTTCTACCTATAAAATCTACCAAGAGGAGAAAGTTTGGTTTGCAGGAAGCAAAAGCTCTTTGTGCACCCATCAAAATGGCCTCACCCCAGGAAATGTTCAATTCTCTTGGGGGCCACGGGGCTGAACGAGGACCTGGGATTGGGGTGTGGGGAAAGCCCCCTCCTGGAGAGAGGGAACAAGAGGGTTTCAAGGCAGAAGGATCCCCTTTTCTGAGACACTGGTGTTTATAGAGCTCTCATCTCTACCATGAGATGCCTTCCTGCTCCCCACCTCCTCCTGCTGCTGCTGGAGCCCAGGAGGGAAGAGAGGTGATCCAGCCCAGACAAACCAGCTTCTCCTCCAGAACACTGCAAAAACAGGCCTGGTGGGAGAAGCTGCACTCTGGAGACTCACGGGAAATCTGACTCAAAGCTCTCCAGGGCCTTGCAAAGAGATCCCTCAGGGGAATCAATGTGTGCAAAAACAGTGGGCAGGGAAAAAAATGAAAAGGAACAAAGAAAGCAAAAAAAAGAATCAATAGAAACTGCCAGGTTGGCTCCCGTGGGGGCCGCTGATTTCCTGGTACTGAAGTAAATCATAATAATCCTTTCTCCTCCTTTCAGTTACCCTGAGTTCAGGACTGACTGACAGCACTGGTCAGTGACCCCTGCTTTGGGGAGCAGCTTTAAACCACGATCCTCCTGCCCAGCTGACAGGGACAGCCTGTCCTTCCAGCCTGGCAAGTGCAGAGGTGACCCCTCCTCACCTCTGCCCACTGGGCTCGTGGGTAGTACCAACTTCTGGTGAGATTTCAGAGCAGCTTTGCAGCCTTTGGGATGTGGGGTGAGGAGGATTCCATCTCCCAGCTCACAGGCAATGGGCTCGAAAGCACACAAAGGGATTTCAAAATGTATTAACTGGGAACTTGTGTGAGCTGGGCAGAGGGAGAGGGGGAGATTGTCCAAACCAGCACAGAGAGTGCAAAAGAGGAGCTGAGGTGAGGGGGACCATGGTGGGACACCCCCTCTGTGACTCATGTGATCATGGCTGTGAAACCTCAGTAGCTGCAGGAACAGCCCTGTTCCACCTCAGCAGGCCACTAGGACCACCAGCCTCCCTAGGGAAGTCCTGCAGCCTTTCCAGGGACTCTGTAAAGCTGGAGCTCTGGATGTGGAAGACGACCAGGGCTTAATTGCAATAAAGGTATCAAAACCTCCCTTTGGCCATCCCAGTTCTGCCATTGTGGCCTCACCTCTGGGTTTCCCACTGTGGCTCCTTGCCTGCCCTGGGATGTGGAAGGTGTGAGCACCACTCCTCTGGCAGCTGGAGACAGGAGCTGCTCTGGAAGCCGTGCTGCAGACTGGGGCTCTGCACTTCAGCCAAAATTGACTCTTTATCAGCAGGAGAACTGCCCTCCTGTTTTAGTTTAGCAGCTAATTCCTTACAGCCTTTGGAAGAGGAAGAGAAAATATACCGGAGAGCTTAAAAACAAATGATGTAAGCTCCGAAGGGAGCGAGGCTGGGACATATGCAATGTATCGCTGAGACAGAGCTGGAAACTTATGCAGAGCCCATAGAGTGCACTTGGAAGGCTGCTCTGCAAACAGGCCAGACTCACCAGCTCCTGTCCAACCAGCTGCAACCCTTCAAGGAAGGCTGCAACTCTTGGAGGAAGGGAGAAGCACTACGTGAGAACATTTCTGCTAAACAGACACAAACCTGCCCCTTCCTCCCCCTCCTCCCCCCAGTCCAAACAGCAACTGTAAATAGATCCATTTTCTCTGCTTCTTCCCGAAAGAGCCAGACAGCCACAATGGCTTAAGTGTGACTCTCAAAATCCAGGCATTTCACAGACACTTGGGAATTGTCTCCGCAGCTCTTTTACAAGTTACAGTCAAGGACACTTAGCGGTGACAGTGTCACCGAACCGCCGCAATCTCAGCAAGAATGGCTCCAGCAGCATCTTTGAGCAAATGCTTTACAAAAACGGGTCAGATACAAAAGCAGTAAGAGGTGAAGTAACCTGGTCAGCCTTTGAATTTGATTTGAGAAGCTGCCAAAGTGTAAACAGCAACAGTCACTAATGAGGCCCTAATTCTGCCATCACTGAACTCCCAAATTTCCATTAACTAAGACCCAGGCTTTAAGATGAGGGAGAGGGGTGGTGTGTGTGTGTGTCTTGGCATGTACAAGATTTAATGTAGTGTCATGAGTGTGAAATACACTCCAAGCAGTGAGAACACTAATGGAAGTTCTATTAGTCCAATTCCCTTTAATACTTGGTAACAAATTATATCAGTCCTTTTCTATCCTGAGAGAGCCAGACTCTCCCCTTTTGGTTCTACTAGATCTGGTGTGTGTTCAGCACCAAGGGCCATGCACAGACTGACACAGGTGCTGGGCTTGTTCTCATTGTTTTGACAGGAGAAAAACAAGGGTTATGCATAGAAATGTTTATAGTGTCAAGGCCTCAGACTAAATTCTTTGGAGCAGGAACTGTCCTCTGCCTTATTCTTGTACAGGAGCCAGAAGTGGTCATCCCACTTGGCAGCTTTTGTCAACTCCTAATCAGATTAGCACAATGTTTGCTCCCATTCTCCTCAAAAACAAAGGCTGGACAGACATTTTCCCAATCTGTCATTTTACATGTACCTAAAATATTTACAGAGAAAAAGGCTCTTGCTCCTGAGAACAGAGTTAACTCGCTGTCAACCAAAACCCCTCCCAACTCCATATTAACAAGTGTGAGAGTATGTCCTGAACTCCAGCCCTGGCCTATGAGTTCAGCCTGACACATCTGTAAATGATCTTCAGCAGTGGGATCAGACCCAAAGGATCAGACTTGGAAGGGACCGGAGCATCCGCAGTCTGCACACACCGAACCCGAGCCTCTCTCAGGGCACTGGAGACAGCGCTGCTCCAGCAGCAGGAAACACGCAAAGGCAGCTTGGAAAGGACCCAGGAAAAACCAACGTTCATTCTGAAGACAGAGTTCCAGGTCTGGAAGGAGTCAATGCAAAAATATGCCAGGGAAGAGGGAGGTTTCAGGTGCTCCCAGAGGTACCGTGGGCTGGGAACGCAGGCAGCGCCTCCAAAAACAAGGAGCAGCTGAGAATGGCTGTGGAGCCCTTGGTGTCTGAGGTGAAAGCTGGACAGAGCTGCTCTCTCCCAGCCCCAGCTCCATCCAGAACTTCTGCACTGCCAGCACCTCTAAGATGAGTGTCAGTGTTTTTGCAGGAAAGGAAGTGGAGGTGAAGAAAAGCACAATTACCATTTGACTCACTCGCAACCTGCTGACAGAGAGCTGCAGAAGGGTGATCACAACACAGAGAGGCCTGAAGGGATTCTTTTGGTACAAGAAGGATGCAGTGGGTGAGAGCTTCTGCCCTCAGGCTCAAGGCTCTCCCCAGCCAGGGAGCAGGAGCCAAGGTCAGCTCTGCAGGGCTCACACAGCTGCGGACGTGAGAGCTGGGACACATCACCAATCCATTCCCTTTATAGAACTGGCCTGACTACACAGGCTCAAAGCTTCCTCCTCAGGAGGAATGTACACAGAAATGTCACACATCCCATCCACTCCCAAACCCCCCAGGAAGTTTCAGAAGTGCCATAATCCACAAAGAACATAAGGTGAATCTCATCCTGAGAAATCCATCTGCTGCTCCTGGAAAAAAAACCCTTTGCTGCAAACCCAGGGCTTACCTGAGGGGACAGGGAGGGTCATAAATAGCTTGAGCTTCTCCCAAAATACATTTGAGGAAAGGCAAAGGATTACCTCAAGGGTCAGGAAAATAGTCCTTTTTAAACACTGTAAACATGCAGGGTGGCAAAGCTGCCTGCCCCAGTTGCCCCGGCTCGCTCCTCTCAAGACGTTGCCTTGGTTTCAAAGCTGAAAGTCTTCTTGTCCTGGGAACGGCTCTGTTTTCCCACCCCAGCATCCTTAGCTGGCAGCTCCATCACAAATCACTGCTGGCTCTGTCCCTCTGGCCATGAAGCTCATTGTCCAGTGATCTGTGCTGGCATAACCTTGGGAAGAGGCAATGGAGAGGCTCTGTTAGATGAGTCCATCCTTAACGAGTGCTCCCATTCCCCACAAAGGGATGTGGTTGTGCTGGAGCTCTTTGGAAAGACTCTTCCCTCAGTGGGCACTGGGTTTGCAATACCCATTGTGTACCCACACTGCTCAGCCTGGAGCATCTCCAGTGTTGGAGTTCCAGGCCACAAACTCCCAGTCCAGGAGGATCACTCCCTGTGCTGTGACAAGCAGGCACACACCGGTCTGGAGGTGACAATGGCACAAACCACCATCCCAGGTGTCAGACAGAAAAGACCCGGCTGGAAGCAGTCTCCTGATTGCACTCCCAGTCCCTGCCAGCCACAGCTCTGGTACTCACCCAAATCCCCAGCTTCCAGCTCCACCTTGAACACCTCACAGTGTCCTCTGCACGTGTCCAGAGGTGCAACAGTCAGGGTGAGCTGCCCACTCCCAACAGCGAAGAGGCTGTGCAGGCTGTAGCTCTAGGATGAGAGGAGAGGATTTCAAAAGCCTGGCCAGCTTTCCTTGGCTCTGTCTGCCCAAAGCAGGGACAGTCACTGCCCTGCAGGCAGGTGAGACAGAGCAAACAACACATTTGCTGCTTCACCAGTTACCAGTGGAGCACAGAATCTTAGCTGAGGTCAGCTGCATGCAAGGGTTCTCCTCTGCTCCAAGGCAAGGCAGAGCCTTCACAACTCAGGAAAACACAGAGGAGATCAGGCCAGAAGCCTGAAGGGTCTCAGAATGAGTGAGACTCACTGCCAGGAGCAGCTCCTAAAATGCAACTCGTAAAACAATTCTGCCCAACTGTGCACAGAAAGACCTCACCCAGCTACAGAGCAAGGCCAGATACATGAATGGAGCAGGCAAGGGGTGTTGGAACACGATGATCTTTGGAGTCCCTCTGTTTCTGTGACATCTCCAGCTCCAAGGGAGATGGGCACAGGGAATCTCCTGCCCCAAACTAGACACAAGTGCTG